TGTGTTGTTTATCGTGTCCTCTGCCTGGATGAGTTGGATGTGTGTGTTTGTCTGCAGGAGGTTTGATATGAAACGAGGGGGAAAGAAGAAGCCGAGGACGTTTTGTTTACAACTAGCTTCCACTGCTAAAGGTGCAGGTTGGAACATCGGCAACATGCGTGTGTGTGCGTGTGTGTGCGTGTGCGTGCGCGTTCATGCGTGTACGTCCATGCGTGTGTGTGCGTGTGTGCGTGTGTGCGTGTGTGCGCGTTCGTGTGTGTGTGTTAATGTCTTGTGGCAGGTGATGCAGATGATCAGGTGATCGATTAATTGCTCGTTGTCGACTGTTTGTGATTTTATATATACACGAAGACGCTGATGAGTTAATCATGACTGTAACTCCTCCCCCTTCAGTAAAGGGAACTGAGAACTTCCACCACTATGTGCAAAATAAATACCATGACACACTCTCTGCTGTATAACAGGTGCAATATTATTAATAATGTTCTAAAATAACGTGCAATAACGGATCTGCCGCTCCGCCTCTCTGCACCGCAGCTCGTCGCTCTGCAGTTCTTCACTTTCACATGTGACCGTCTGTTTCCTGGAGTTATTGAATTGCTCTATTCACTGCACTGTTAGTGTACAGCTGTATTGTTACGCTGCTGTGTTTATTGTGTTTATTGTCTCCATGTGACTCTGGCTCAACTATTTCCTTCGGGAAACATAAAGTCCTGTTTAATCTAATCTAATCTAATCTAATCTGATCTGATCTAATCTGATCTTCTCTCTTATCTGGAGTGTCTCAGGTGTGAAGATTAGGTCAGGTGTTTGGACTCCAGGTCATCTCATGATCTGCTTACGGCTCTCAGGCCTCAGCTCCTGTTGGGTCACCTTTAGTTTCAGTGACCCAGAATCCAAAATCTGGATCATTATCCCTCGTGCCTCCTTTTAAAGAGTCCCTATTCCCTCTCCTGTAGTGTTTCATACAGGTATGAGTGCATGTCAATGGTCTGCAGAGGATCAAATGTGAGTTTTTATCTTAAGTTAAAACTGATAAGAAAGCTACTACCTACGTGGATGCTAAAGTCCTTTTTTTGACCTTACAATATTTTAGGTTTCAGGAAAAACGTCAATGGTTCTCTGATTGTGTTTTTGGTTGTTCGCCTGAAATCTGTGGTTAACTCAACGACCCACAATCTGGATCATCAACCTTCCCTTTAAAGAGTCCCTATTCCCTCTCCTGTAGTGTTTCATACAGGTGTTAGTGCATATCAATGGTCTGCAGAGGATAACATGTGAGTTTCTATATTAAGTTGAAACTGATAAGAAAGCTACTAGTACCTACGTTGGTGCGAAAGTCGTTTGTTGACCTTGGTGACAATACTTTATGTTTTAGGAAAAAAATCAATGGTTTTCTGAACATATTTTTGGTTGTTCGTCTGAAGTCTATTATTTACTCAATGACCCAAAATATTGATCCTCAACCTTCCCTTTAAAGAGTCCCTATTCCCTATCCTGTAGTGTGTTATATAGTGCATGTAAATGGTCTGCAAAGGCTACAATCCTAAAAGGTTACCTCCAGCAGGAGTTCCTATCTTAAGTTGAAACTGATAAGAAAGCTACTAGTACTTACGTTGGTGTGAAAGTAGTTTTTTGACCTTGGTAACAATATTTTATGTTTCAGGGGAAAAGTCAATGGTTTCCTGAATGGGTTTTTGGTTGTTAGTCTGAAATCTGTTGTTTACTCAATGACCCAAAATCTGGATAATCAACCTTCCCTTTAAAGAGTCCCTATTCCCTCTCCTGTAGTGAGTTGTACAGGTGTTAGTGCATGTCAATGGTCTGAAGAAGACACAAATTGTGTTTTGGGTTGTTAGCCTGAAATCTGTGATTAACACAAGCTCAAGAGATGAGTATAATACCTCGCTGGTGAATTAAAAGTAAGCCTCTCATGCAATAACTAATCCCCTGTTAGAGCCGTTCATCTCCACCTGTATCAGACGATAAACAAATTAAATAATAACAAACTATTATCCTAAAAACAGCTTTCAGGGAATTTCACCTCCATGTATTTTTCTTAGAGCTTCTGTAGAAACGTATTGAAATCTTTGAACTTTGAAATCTATAAAGAGAGACTTGGCCTTTATAATTTGGAATTGAAAAACGCACGACAATCGTTCTTCTCTGACATCATTACCAAAAACAACGCACGTGCCTTGTTTGCTACCGTCGACAGACTAACTAACCCCCCAGTGTCAGTAGCCTCTGAATTTCTATCCACCAGGGCGTGCAATGATTTTGCCTCCTTCACTGACAACATTCAGAACATCAGACCAGCAGTCAGTGCCTCTGCATCAGGAACAGCAAATGTGTTGTCCCTGTGTCCACTTAACATCAATTCAGACATCATGACACAACTCCATCAGATTAATGATAAACACCTAGAGGACATTATTCAACTTCTGAAGTCCTCCTCTTGCTGCCTTGATATTATTCCAACAGGATTTTTCAAAGATGTTTTGCCTTGCATGGCCTCAGATCTACTTCATATAGTAAACAAATCTCTTCACTCAGGTGTTTTTCCACAGGCCCTGAAAACTGCAGTCATTAAACCACTCTTAAAAAAGAATAATCTAGATGCTTCAGTAATGAACAATTACAGGCCCATATCAAACCTCCCATTTCTAGGTAAGATCATTGAAAAAGTTGTTTTTCAACAGTTGAGTAATTTCTTGCATTTAAATAACTGTTTGGATGTGTTCCAGTCAGGCTTTCGTCCAAACCACAGCACTGAGACTGCTCTTGTTAAGGTCTTCAATGACATCCACTTAAACACAGACAGTGGCAGAACTTCAGTGTTAGTATTATTAGATCTCAGTGCTGCGTTTTACACTGTTGACCACAGCATATTACTAGACCGACTGGAACACTGGGTGGGACTTTCGGAAACAGTTCTAAATTGGTTTGAATCCTACTTAAAGGACAGAAACAACTTTGTTTCTATCGATAAATACACATCTGAGTTGACAAATATGACATGTGGGGTTCCTCAAGGCTCCATCTTGGGGCCTCTACTCTTTAACATCTACATGCTACCACTGGCTCAGATAATGAAGAACAACAAAATAAGTTACCATAGCTATGCAGATGACACACAAATTTACGTAACAATTTCACCAGGAGACTATGCTCCAATTCAAACACTGAGTAAGTGCATTGAACAAATCAATGACTGGATGTGTCAGAACTTTCTCCAATTAAACAAAGATAAAACTGAGGTAATGGTTTTTGGAGCCAAGGCAGAACGTATAAAAGTTAGCGCTGAGCTTCAGTCTGCAATGTTCAAAACAACAGATAGAGCCAGAAATCTAGGTGTAGTCATGGACTCTGACCTGAGTTTCAACAGTCACATTAAAACTGTTACTAAATCAGCCTACTATCACCTGAAGAACATATCTAGGACTAAAACACTAATGTCACAGCAGGATTTGGAAAAACTTGTCCATGCTTTTATCTTCAGTAGACTCGACTACTGCAATGGTGTCTTCACAGGTCTCACTAAAACATCTATTAGGAAGCTGCAGCTGATTCAGAACGCCTGCTGCTCTAGTCCTCACTGACACTAAGAAAGTGGATCACATCCCTGTTCTGAAGTCTTTACACTGGCTTCCTGTGTGTCAAAGAATAGATTTCTAAATACTGCTGCTGGTTTATAAAGCACTGAATGGTTTAGGCCCAAAATACATTTCTGACCTCCTGCTAAATGATGAACCATCCAGATCTCTCAGGCCTTCAGGGACTGGTCAGCTTTCTGTCCCCAGAGTCAGAACTAAACATGGAGAAGCAGCGTTCAGTTATTATGCTCCAAATATCTGGAACAAACTCCCAGAAACCTGCAGGTCCGCTGCAACTCTGACTACTTTTAAATCCAGCAAGAAGACTTTTCTTTTTGTCGCTGCTTTTAATTGAACTATTCACATCTTAGACTGCACTGTAACTTTTATCCATGTACTTTTTCTTTTAATGTTTATTTTATTAGCTTTTCTTTTTAATGTCTGATTTTAAATGCCATTTTCTTAATGTCTTTCGTTTTTTGTAAAGCACTTTGAATTGCCTTGTGTTGAAAAGTGCTATATAAATAAACTTGCCTTGCCTTGCCTTGCCTTTATAAGTGTGTTGGGGGGGGGGGGGGTTAAAGACCCCTTTAGCAGCCTGTGGTTCCGGCCCTGGAGGTTCAGGCCGACACGGTGACGTGTGTCTGAGCAGAGACTCTGACAGCAGCCGGAGAATCTCGTCATGCTCCTTTGTTTTATTATTAAACTGTTTGTTTGAGCTGCTTCTTCACCGCGAGGTCACCGAGTCTTTAGGAGCAGAGAGCGGAGTGTGTTGGTCTGAGGACAATCAGACCAACCTGAGCGTGTGTTGTGTGGCGGAGGATGAGGAGGAGGAAGGTTTCTGAATGTGTCCCTGTGCTTCCTGCTTGTTTTCAGGAGCGCGATGGGCCCGCACGGCACGAGCAGATCTGTTCAGAGATTGGAGTTCTGCAACTGCAAGAAGGGACTCGGTGAGCATGCTCACCCTAAATAATACTGACGATAATAATAACTTACATTTAAATAGCGCCTTTCATAAACCCAAAAATTGTATACAAAGAAGATAATGTAGGAAAATCAAATGTAGAAAAAAATGCAAATGGAAAATCATTTAATTGAGTTTAAGAACATTTAAAGAATGAATAGCAAAATGCAGAATATGAGAGACTCTGTAGGAAATCACCTCTGCCTCTGCTCAGGGGTGAAGGTGATCGGGGGGTACCGAGATCTGACCGGAGAGGAGTTCGGTATCTACGTGAAGAGAGTGATCGCCGGGGGGCTCGCCGCCCAGGACGGTACGGGGGGTTAGGGTTATTTATATTTTAGCTAATATAATTATTATTAAACCGCATACCTGTCCGTCTCTTCCAGGTCGGTTAAAGTCAGGTGACCTGATTCTGGATGTCAATAACATCAGTCTGATGGACGCGACCAATGAGAGGTGAGCAGGTTTCATTCTAACCTCCTTATTCATTGCTGTTCTATATCAAGTACTTCCTGTCTCTGTTCCTGTCTCTGATAGGGCGGTGGAGAACCTGAGGATGGCGTCCCTGTCCAATCACATGACTCTGCTGATCGCCAGAGACGAGGAGTCCAGGTGAGACAGAAACACTTAGGGGGGAAATTAACTCTTTAAAGTAGAGACACTACATACTGATATACACCTGAACATCAGCAGGAGAGGACTCTTTAAAGTAGAGACACTACATACTGATATACAGCTGAACATCAGCAGGAGAGGACTCTTTAAAGTAGAGACACTACATACTGATATACACCTGAACATCAGCAGGAGAGGACTCTTTAAAGTAGAGACACTACATACTGATATACACCTGAACATCAGCAGGAGAGGACTCTTTAAAGTAGAGACACCACATACTGATATACACCTGAACATCAGCAGGAGAGGACTCTTTAAAGTAGAGACACTACATACTGATATACACCTGAACATCAGCAGGAGAGGACTCTTTAAAGCAGAGACACTACATACTGATATACACCTGAACATCAGCTGGAGAGGACTCTTTAAAGTAGAGACACTACATACTGATATACACCTGAACATCAGAGGAGAGGACTCTTTAAAGTAGAGACACTACATACTGATATACACCTGACCATCAGCAGGAGAGGACTCTTTAAAGTAGAGACACTACATACTGATATACACCTGAACATCAGCAGGAGAGGACTCTTTAAAGTAGAGACACTACATACTGAGATACACCTGAACATCAGCAGGAGAGGACTCTTTAAAGTAGAGACACTACATACTGATATACACCTGAACATCAGCAGGAGAGGACTCTTTAAAGTAGAGACACCACATACTGATATACACCTGAACATCAGCAGGAGAGGACTCTTTAAAGTAGAGACACTACATACTGATATACACCTGAACATCAGCAGGAGAGCACTCTTTAAAGTAGAGACACATACTGATATACACCTGAACATCAGCAGGAGAGGACTCTTTAAAGTAGAGACGCTACATACTGATATACACCTGAACATCAGCAGGAGAGGACTCTTTAAAGACACTACATACTGATATATACCTGAACATCAGCAGGAGAGAACTCTTTAAAGTAGAGACACTACATACTGATATACACCTGAACATCAGCAGGAGAGGACTCTTTAAAGACACTACATACTGATATACACCTGAACATCAGAGGAGAGGACTCTTTAAAGTAGAGACACTACATACTGATACACACCTGAACATCAGCAGGAGAGAACTCTTTAAAGTAGAGACACTACATACTGATATACACCTGAACATCAGCAGGAGAGGACTCTTTAAAGTAGAGACACTACATACTGATATACACCTGAACATCAGCAGGAGAGGACTCTTTAAAGTAGAGACACTACATACTGATATACACCTGAACATCAGCAGGAGAGGACTCTTTAAAGTAGAGACACTACATACTGATATACACCTGAACATCAGCAGGAGAGGACTCTTTAAAGTAGAGACACTACATACTGATCAGGGTTTCCGTTAGCCGGTAATTACCGGTTTTTAGCTGGTAAAATTTATTAAAAACCGGTAAATTCAAAACCTGCCGGTCAAAAATGTCTGGTAATAATTAGGAAGGCTCCGATAGATCAGCCACCGGTCATTATCGGCCGATATTCACTCTTAATAGTTTGATCGGTGCTCTCTATAAAGAACGATCAGGAGAGCTGGATCTGATCGATATGGACATAAACGCGAGTGAAGTATAACCGGACGCGAGAGAGAGATCAGATCAGCTGCTGAGTCTGACAGAGACACGCAGCTCTGCATAATCACCTGAAGCCCCGCCCTCTGTTTAGCTGCATGAGAAACTGACGGGCTGTCAGAGAGAGGGAGAGGGAGAGGGGAAAAGAGAGCATCCGTTTCTCCCGTGTTATTATTCAAAGTTAATGTAAACTTTGAATAATGTACGTTATCTACTACAAGTAGTTTGTTTGAATGTAATAATTATGTTGTTTGTTGAATCATTTATTGAAAAATGGATCTGAATTTTTCGATCTGTTACGATTATAGACTGGAAGCAATATAAAAATGAGCCCCGTGAACTGAGTTTTAAACGAAGCATATCTGCTCATAGTCCGGTAATTACCTGCTAACGGAAACTCTGCTACACAACTCTTACTATTATTATTGAAATATGACCGGTAAGTTTCACAATTGTCCGGTAAAAAAAATTCTGCCCCGGGACATTTGACCGGCGAGGAAAAAATCCTAGGTGAAACCCTGATACTGATATACACCTGACCACTCAGCAGGAGAGGGACTCTTTAAGGGCAGAGACACTAACATACTGATACACACCTGAAACATCAGCAGAGAGAACTCTTTAAAGTAGAGACACTACATACGATATAGCACCCTGAACATCAGCAGGAGAGGACTCTT